TATATACATATACAAATATACATATATGGATGTTTTATAGAGTCAAAATGTTTAATTAAATGTAAGGGCTCCTAGAGACTAAACAGCATGCTTTAAGTGATGTAAATGTGGATATGAGACAAAGTAGTCTTCAGTGCACAGGTATGTAATTAGTCTGTACTTGATTATTTTGCCTTATAGAGTTTCGACATATATATATATATGCTTCAGTGTTATGTGTGTGTTTTTTTTCCTTAGTGGAAAATACTATATATATATATGCGTTAGCTTCTTTGAAGCTACATTTGGAAACTTTTATCATAAATGTCAGTTGAATAATTTGGTTCCAATCTATACTTTAGACTAATTACAGGAGTTATAGTTACTTTTACATATTAATATAGCTTTTACATATTAATTATAATTTTGAAGTGAACTGGATCCCTACCTTTTACTCTTCATGTGCTTCTCTCCTACATATTTTACATGACTAAGGATTAAAACATCACCTTGACATAACAGTAAGCATAATTTCACTCAACATTTTCTCTCTACTTTTGTGTTTGCAATTAAATTGTTACTTCTCTTTCTCTCTCTCCCTTAGTTACACAGTAAGGATTTTTGAATGTATATTGTCATCTAAGGTAAGCTTTCATATGGTTCTTGCATATGAAGCTTATGTCTGTTTACACGTCATACAACGTCTGCCCAGTATGGCATGATTTTCATTATGTCCCTTAATGAAAATGTTTTTTAAAAGGAGTAGCATGATAGTTTTAATGCATATTAAAACAGATTTTTATAATAACTGCTTGTTATGGTACTTCCTCTTAGTAGTACATCCCACTACCTTCTAATAGTGTATGTTTCAATGGAATTAAACAGTGCATGAATTAGCATGATTAACTAGCATGAATAAAATGCAAGTAATAAAAGAGCATTTTGCATTTACAGTCAGTTATTTTCATCTAGGAATATACCTCTGCATAAATGAAATATTTATTCCACAGTTAATTTCATTTAGAAATGAATGACATGAGTTGAAAAGAATGCCAAACAGCATGCTTTTTTTTGTCTGTAGTGTGCATCTACCTAAGGTTGGGAACAAAGTTCTGCCAAAATGACAGCGTTAAATGAGATAGCACAGTCTCATAATCACTAGTAACTAATAGCATTTAATTGGATAATCCTTGTGTTAATAAAGGTTATAAATTCCTAAAATCTGTTCTCGGGATAAATGCTGTATGTGAGCAGCAGCTCAGTTGCATTTAGCTGAAGCATTCAGAGACAGTGATATCTTCATCTTGGCAATGTACTTTTGCTTTAAAGCTTTTGGTGTGTTCCAGAAAAGGCTCAGAAGGTAAGTGGGTGGTTTTGCAACTTACAGAACAGAATACTAATGCAGATTTGTATGAGGAATAGTAATGGTATGTAGCTTTCTTACAACAGATGCCACCCTTTGCCTTGAGAAAGGGCAGACTCTAATGTTTTTAGCAAAATATTTATATTGTTTCCCACTGTTCCTTCCAAATGCCATCTGATCTCAATTAAATTAACAGAAATACCCACGTGTTTAATTTCCATTACATTTTTTTTCAATGGCATGAAGTTTTACTCCTGATTTGGACTATTTGTATCAAATTACTGCTTCTACATTAGTGGGAGTGGGGTGCCCTGGCTGGTGTGTTAGACACTACATACATGTTTTTCTGGACACTGAAAGAAATATCTTGTCTTGGATTGCTAACATTATTAAATGTTCTTTAAAAATCTTTTGCCTTGTCCCTTTTTCCAGAACACCAAAAAAAAACACTGAATACTTCCAATAGCTTTCTTATAAGCCCAGGTTTCTATTACAGCAGTGATTTAAAATAGCTTTGGTTCTGTTTTTTTACCCACAGTGGCTAAGCCACAGTCGGAAAGCACATAGACCTAGAGGGCTGGGAACGGTACTTCTGACACTTGTTCAGTGAATATTGACTCCAACAACCATAAAACTGGAAAATGGAGACAAAAAAAAAAAAAGTTTAGTTTCACAGAGACAGGAAACAAAGCTTTGGCAGGGCTGGAGGAAATGCTGAATACAAAAGGCCCCGATTTGTCAGTGGGGCTTGTGAGCGTGGACACTCACTGCTGCTGCTAAGGAAGATGCTGGCCACAAGTGAGGAGTAGATCTCCCCTAGGGATTGGTACAGGACCTCCCACAACTTTGAGATCACATACCAATAGCTTTAAGGCCCAGGAAAACTTTAGAGCTTTCAGGGAATAAGCACCTCGATCTAAGGTGACTACATGTGGCCTGTTTTTATTAAAAAGTTAATTCAAAATAATTCTTCAGACCTCCCCAGCACATTAAAGTTTCAACTAAAGGCACCTATATCTAAAATCCTGGGGGTTTAAAATGATTCTTTTACATGTATCATCCCACCTGTTATTTTCAAGCAACATGGTAAATATTTTGCTAAATACTTACAAACCATGATAAGACCCAACACTAGAATAATTTGAATGTCTCTGCATGTTTTCCACACTTGTCATAGTCAGGTGTTTTCTACATTGTTCCCTCTGGGCTGACTTCCATCTCTGACTCTACTCCACACAGTCTGATGGAAATCCAGGAGGGTTATTTGAGGTGAAGCTTATCATAGACTACTGCATGGGGTGAGATAAATGACCGAATACATGACATCCTAGAAATGAAATTCACCCTGCACAAGAGAACAGGAAAGTTCTGTATAGTACAGAGACAAAATAATGGTTAATTCTCATGCTGGGCTTTTGAACAGGGATGAATTTTATCACATCGCAAAATGAGGTATGCAATAGGGACCGACTAAATCTTTGTCACTTGCACCAGAAAATAAAGGTACAAAGCTGTTGCTCCAGGGACCTTCAACCTGAAGACTGACTTATGTCCTTGTTTGTAGGTGGGCTTTCCTTCTTCAGACTATTGATGGATGGAGTGCCTCCGCAAGTCATTGATTCATATATGCGAGAAGTACAGGCAGACAAAACTGAGGGGAAGTGAGAGTCCATCCACAGTGTTTCCTCCCACTGCACTGGAAATTGGTAGCAGAATTACAGCATTTTAGTTCTTGCAATGCCAGAACAAATGTGCGGCTGGGTATTTTCTTTTATTTTCTTTTTTTTTTTCTCTTTTTTTTTTTTGTTTCTTATTTGTTGTTTTGTTTTCCCTACCTGCTCTTACTGAAAAGAAAGAATACGCATGGATTGCTTTGGGGTTGCAATGAAATGAACTGAAGACAACACACATTTTGTAATGTTCAGCTTGATTTTCTGTTTGATATTGTGTTCTGTTTTTTAATGAGGAAAGAGGAGAAGCTGTGTAATAAACCTGAGGAGGCAGTCAGAGGTTATACTCGGTGGTACAAAGCATATCTTTCTCAGACTGAAAGTACATGGATTAGCCGTAGCTGTGCAATAAGACCCTTGGAATACATACCTCTTTGATAATGTATCTTATTCACCTGAGAATTGTTTAACAGAATATGATTTTACTATAACGTAATTAATACATATGTACTTAATGATCATTTAAGCTGAACATATCTTCCTTTAGAAGTTTTGATTTCCTAAATCTGACCCATCAGTCTCTCAACTGAACTGAAATTGTTTTATTTAATGTACAATAAATATGAAGTGCTTAAGATCTATCAAGTTCTTGCTTACTATTTTTTTTTAGGTTTTTTTCTGTCTCATCTTACCACATTTCTTGTGTTATTTCCACATATTGTGAAGCAGGAACTTGAGCCCACCACACTGAGTGGAAATCAGTATCACCAATCACCAAACCCATGAGCTTGCACTTCAAGATACATGACACAGAATGGGTGTGAAGACAAATGCTATAGATACGCAAAATTTTGCATCCATATGTTTTCAATATTTTAAATATAAATGCCAACTGTGACAGCTTTCATCATTCTGGATCTGCCCCCTTCCTCAGCAATTCATGGAACTCTTGTAGGTGTCCTAACAGAAAAAGGACCCAGACCATATCACGAGAGAGTTTACCCTGCAAGGGAAAAACACCTTGGATAAGGTAAAATGGCTACATTTACTTTGCCAGCTCTAGCGTCATTGATCTCTAAATATTTCAGGAGTGGGGGTGATTGTCTGTAAGTCTCCAGCAAACTCTGAAGCACGTGAGACACAAGGTCACACATAGTTTGTCCAGGCTGTTGATTCCCTATTGCCCCGTCATTTATTTACCAGTTCTCACTCTTGCTGTATAGATAGGGTACGTTATGTGCTTACTGACTAATGATTGATCTCCAATTACAGCTTATAAAGATAAAGGTCTACTTAGACCAGTAGTACATTACAAGATGGCTATTTGACGTCAGCACATTTTCAAACATGCAGCATTCAGTAATTACGCAATAATAATGTAACCATGTTACCATGAAAAGCCACTGATGAACTGGTGTTTTCCCTGTTGAATTATCACTTCTTTCACTTTGGGCATGTGAATGCATTTTCTCACTTTGTTCTGTAAATCTTACTTGCTCTGAGATTCTTTTTCTTCTTTCTCTCCTTTTTATCCTTGTGATTTCTCCTGTGCTGCCATCTGTGCAAGGAAGCAATTCTCCACTCCCAGTGATCCTGGGGTCACTGCATTTCACCCTGCTCCTGCCAAAATCAATTCTCTCCTACACATTCATTCACACCTACACAGGAAAGAAGGCAACACATCTACTAAGAAAAAAATTTCATTAAAAATCAATAAATTATCTTTATTCTGTATCACACCAGGGAATCAGGACTCCGTCTGTATTGAAGCACAGAAGGCTGTGGGAGAGGGTCAGTTTGAGTGTCATGCAGGTTTAAGCATTTAAGCACATGGCCTTCATTTAAAATAATATCAGTCTGTTGAGATATATTATAGTCAGCACCAAAAGCTATAGTTATTGTGAATTTGGCTTTTCAGTAAGCCAAAAAAAAAAGCTGCACATAGCTACCTGTACTTAGTATGCAATGCTGTTTACAGCTTCAAGCTTATGTACCTATCCGCCTCCTCAGTCTTAATATACCATACATAAGAACCTGGAAGCCAGCATAAACCTCAGCTTCTGTAGGCTCTCTGTCAATGGAATTAGCTACTCTAATTTCTACCAGATGCCATCAGTGTTAAAACACAAGCTGAAGTAAGCTACTTTTCACTGTGTGAATGGTAAGCATTATACTCGGATGCCCTCAATTCCTCCCCAGTTGCATTGCCTAGCATTTGCCATTGGCTGTCCCTCAGGCTCGAGACGTGCCACACCAGGAGGAAGTACTGGGTATCGGGCTGTGGGTGGAACTGATGAGTGGGCATTAATGTGCTATAAATTCATAGTCTCGCTAACTGTGCTGACCAGCCAAGCTTCTGGATTAAAAATTAATTGAAAATTACTTTGAGAGGAATGACAGGATGGGGTGGGATAGGAAAGGGATTTCTAGTAGATCTAAAACAGGCCGCAGAACCTTAAATAGAGAATAACAAAAGATAAAGTTTTGATTTATGATGATTTGCCTAATGGGATTCTCCACGGATGGTGTTTGATAGATGAAACAAAGTGACCAAAACCACAGAGTTAACAAAATGCTAATGAAATCTGCAGTTAATACCAGCTTGGGAGAATAAAGATATATCAAAGACAACAAAAGCTACATGCAAAACAACCTAGAGAGACTAGAAGCAGCAGAATGTCATGCTGTGGAAGACATAGCCCAATGATCCCAAGAAGAAATTGCTCCAAAGTCAGCTCACAGGGAATTTCCAGGAAACTGGTGAACCTGAAAGAGACCTACAAGTAACAGAGGACAGCAAATAAAACCTGGTCATATGAGAAAAACTAATAGCAAAACACAAAAGCTCCAAGAGAACTGAAACTAGTAGTGCTTTTACGGTTTATGGTTGTGTTCCCTGATGTCTCATAATATGTGAAACAAGTTTTACGTCTTCACCCAGTTGCCTTATATTATCTGTTTGCTGTGTACACCCTCCATCAACTAGTATGTGCTGAGGTTATAGTTCAGTAGCACATTTAATAAGGTTTTTCTTTTCTGCACACTTTCACATATCTGGTACGACTTCAGTATTTTTGAAAGCTCTGACTTGGTGTTCAGTTTCACTTACACACTTCAAGGAAAGTTATTTTTTGGAATAAGAAGGTAGACCCAAACTTGTATACACACACACAGACACACAGGGGAAGAAGAATCAAAGTTAATAAAAAAAGGGGTTTACTTTTAAGGAAGCCAGAGGAAAATATTTAGTCGTCTCCTGGCTTGTTCTCCTTGCCCATGGAAGGGCATTTGGCATGTAAATGTTACTGTCGTATAAATACAGATCCATTCTCAAATTGCTCTATGTGGAGCTTGATCAAGCATTGTAGTTATCCATTTGCATTAAAAGATCACGGCCAGTGCCAGCCCATGTTCTCCTCACTGAAAACAATCTCACAAACGCAAAAAGGGGAAGAGAAAACCACATGCAAACCTTTTAAAGAATGCTTCAACTGGGATATGCTGCTTATAAGGAGGCCTTTACTGAGTCAGAAATTTTAAAAAATATTTCTTTTATAAAAAATGTTTCAAGCTTCCTGTACTTCCTTTTAGAGGAAAAAAAAAAAAAAGTATCACATTGCTACCTTTTACAGACCATTGTAAAGGGAGACTTACTTTACAAATGTCTTTTGTTACATTTTGAGATTCTAGAGCAAAAGGCGTTCTATTTTAAGCACAGCGTACTTACTGACACTTGATTTTCATGGCCTGCTCTCCTGACAGACAAGTAAAGCTGCTGCTCTGCTGAAGCAAAGAGCATTTAGAAGCAAAAATGTATCCTGAATACTAAGGAAGCACTGGAAGTCTAAACGCACTGGACTTTACATTCTATGTTTTCTTGTTCTATGGTTTGTTGCTGAATACTTTTTAAATTAAAACAAACCCTTCCCCAAGGTCAGTGATAAATTCAGTAAGAAATCTATTTCTTCCTCTACTCATGTGGCACTCACTTTTACACCACTTTCCCTTCCACTTCCTTTCCTAGTTTGTTTCCTCTTCTTTTCCTCTTGGTATCACAAAGAGCTTGAGCAATCTCTCCATAAATACCAGTACCATTACATTCATCAACCACAGTGATGCACACGGTATTAAAAGAAACAGTGTTTTATTTTTTCCCAAACACAGTGACTCCACGGCAGTGAACTCGGGATATGGATGGTTGTGAATGTGACACTGTGACATTTCCTTTTTGCCACTCTCTAGTTGCATCTAGTTGAATCTTTCTTTATGATGTTATGTATTACTCCTTCCTTTGCTGGCAGTTCCTCTCTTCCCTGTTTTTGTCGCTAATCCCAAATTAACATATCATGCTGTATTTAGTGATCTGTAACTGAAATCAGCTGATGAGCGACATAGCACTAGGGATGCACATATCATGTGAAGGGATTTTGAAACCACCTTTTCATATATGTTGAGCATTCCTGACCCTTGTGGTAGACTCAAAAATATGTTATTAGATAAAGTGAATCGGCTCACTTTGAGAAACAGCTCTGTTCAGGAAAGTCTTGTATCTGGCCATAAAGCTGTAGCCTCTGGCTCTTGATGGAATAACTTAAAAAAGGATTCCTGATGCTAAGATGCTCTTTGGGTATATAATACTCATTAGAGGTTGCATTTGACACTTTCTACTTTGTCTTTCACCCAGCTACACAGTGTTCACCTTTCCTTGCCACATAGTTTATCCTAGAGAGTCAGGGATACATTGAAAATCCTTCACATGACCAATTCAAATATTTTGGCCTGCCACCATTTCTGAAAAGGCGTATTTGTTTTGAAGCGGCTTCTCTTAAGCAGGTCAAGGAGACAAGGCAGTCCTGAGTAACACAGCGTCCAGGTGCCCCATGACATGTAAGACCACCACGCCCCAAGCAGCGGTTTTTTTTCCCTTGGCTGACACAGGGGGACCACCTCCCTGCAGCAGGCACGGCTGTGGTGACCAACTGACCGCAGGGAGGT